AGTGCCCAGTAGAGGGCCAGATTCCCTAGCTCCAGTGCCCAGTAGAGGGCCAGATTCCCTAGCTCCAGTGCCCAGTAGAGGGCCAGATTCCCTAGCTCCAGTGCCCAGTAGAGGGCCAGATTCCCTAGCTCCAGTGCCCAGTAGAGGGCCAGATTCCCTAGCTCCAGTGCCCAGTAGAGGGCCAGATTCCCTAGCTCCAGTGCCCAGTAGAGGGCCAGATCCCCTAGCTCCAGTGCCCATTAGTGGGGGGGTTTCCCCAGTACCAGAGACTCCTGAGCCCATTGGAGGTCCGTTTAGCCTAGCGCCAGAGACTCCTGAGACCATTGGAGGTCTGTTTAGCCTAGCACCAGAGACTCCTGAGCCCGTTCAGAGTCATCCTGATTTCCCTGAGCAGGCTACTGAAGGGCAGTCTGAAATAAAGCTAAGCAGGCGCTCCAAGCCTCCACGGCCCCCCAGCGGGCGCTCCAAGCCTCCACGGCCCCCCAGCGGGCGCTCCAAGCCTCCACGGCCCCCCAGCGGGCGCTCCAAGCCTCCACGGCCCCCCAGCGGGCCCCCTCTGAGGCTGTTCCTGTGCCGCTGTCGGCGGCCCCCTCTGAGGCTGTTTCTGTGCCGCTGTCGGCGGCCCCCTCTGAGGCTGTTCCTGTGCTGCAGTAGGCGTTCCCCAAGGTTCCTGCAGCTGTGTCAGAGACGGCGTCGCCGCCGGCGACCTCCAGAGACCCTCCTTCGTCAGAGACGGCGTCGCCGCCGGCGTCCTAAAGAGACCCTCCTTCAGAGACGGCGTCGCCGCCGGCCTCCTCCAGAGGCCCTCTGTCGCCGCCGGCCCCCTCCAGAGGCCCTCTGTCGCCGCCGGCCCCCTCCTGGGGTCCTCCTCCTTCAGAGACGGCGTCGCCGCCGGCCCCCTCCTGGGGCCCTCCTCCTTCAGAGACGGCGTCGCCGCCGGCCCCCTCCTGGGGCCCTCCTCCTTCAGAGACGGCGTCGCCGCCGGGCCCCTCCAGAGGCCCTCTTTCGCCGCTGGCCTCGCCGCCGGGCTCCTCCAGAGGCCCTCTTTCGCCGCTGGTCTCCTCCAGAGAGCCTCCTTCGTCAGAGACGGCGGCGCCGTCGCCGTCCTCCTGAGCTTCTGCCTCGCCTCCGGCCTCACGGCCGCCCTCCAGAGACTTTGTTTGCCCTTGCCCACCTTGGGTGGGTTGTTTCGGTTTTGTTTGGACTCTGCGTTTGGTTTTGTATTTCGTGCCCTCCTTCCTGGTTCCCCCTCCGCCCACCCAGGGGGGGTTATTTTTTGTTTCTGGACATTTTGGGCGTCTGGGATCCGCCCTTAAGTAGGGGGCACTGTCATGGTCTTGGTTCTGTTGTTCTTTTCTTTGCTCCTTGTTTTCTAGATTTATTAGCCTAATTCCAGTTTTGTTGTATTTCTAGATTTATATTCTCAAGTTTTTCTGTTGTCCTCTTTTGCCCTCTTGTGTGTGTGTGTGTATGTTCCTTTCCCCTTGGCTCCCTCGTTGTCTCCTCTCACACCTGTTCCTTGTCTGCTCGTTAGCCCTCCCTTTGTCTCTGTCTCCTATATATGCTTTCCCTCTGCTCTCACTCTTTGTTGGTTCCTTGTCTTTGCTGTCTTCCCATGCTGTGGTCTATGTTCCTCGTCTCCTCCTGGCTCCTCGTGTTTGGTTTTCCCCAGATGTCTCCTCTGTTGTGGTTTGCCTTTTTATTATTAGTTGCATTTTTGCATCCCTGCCTTTGTTGCTGTTTTGCCCCATTAAATCACCCAGAAATCTCCTCAGCCTGTCTGCCTCTGCATTTGGGTCCTCCAAAGCACAACTAAACCCTGACACCCTGTAGGGGGGGTAAAATATCTTATTTAATCAGATATTATTTCAGCTGTTATATACTGTTTATGACACACAATCCTACTAACTGTGTGTTAGAACAATAGATGAAAGAGTGATTCGAGCTCTAATCATGGTCAAACAGTTATTTCTGCATGGAATAAATTCACCACAACTTCTGTTCAAAATATTAGAATTTATTAACAAAAATCATTCAGCTCCAAGTCAAACATATTTCAGTTTAAAACTATTAATTAAAACTAGTAAAACTCAACTAAACTAAACAACTATTTACAAAGAGGAAGTGGAAAACTGTTGAAAAACATATTACAGTTTAAGATGAATTTTGAGTTTGAAACCAAAGTTTATCTGGAAGAATTTGGGATCTGATCAATTTAGCTTTTCACTAATTTAAAGAAATAGGAATGTTTTCAGACCAATTCACAATGCGTGAATAAAACATTATTTGGCCAAATAAATTATTAAAAGATTTGCTTAATCAAGAACCAATAACCTTTAGTTAAATGATTCTTTACCCTCTTTGAAATAGCTAGCAGCAAATAGACATCAGGATTCCACTAAATGACTCTTGGTCAGACTTGCTAATGGAAATGTAACGAGCATCTGAGGAACACATGAACACTAATGTTATATCAGTGTTTAACCCTTAATGAAATAAAGCTCCGAGCTTCAACAACAGCTCAACAAATATTCATGTAGCATAGCGTAGCATGCAGTCCATCCTGTTAGCTTTGTCTTTACTCATCAGTAAACATATATTGCTTGTTCTGTCCCTAATCATGCCAGACCTGCAAACCTTTTTGTCCGTGTCCATTTGGAAAGCTTGAGTTTCATCCAGCAGCTCAGCAGTCAGGCCACAGCAACCAGAGGTTTCTTTGTCTCAGTCTCACACCAGGGGTCCTTCTTGTCCAGTCTGGCTCTATAAGTTCAGAAACTCAAGAGAAATGTGTTGCAAAAGGTCTGTTTTGTAGCAGTTTGGTTCTGAAAGGTCACCATAATGCCTTATCCTTGATGATTCTGGAGATCTTGGTTTTTTTGGGGGGTCTGGATCTCCATTCTGGCCAAGACCCTACCGAAGAGGACCCCAGCTTCATGGGCGAGAGAGCAGGAAAAGAGGAGGAATCTGGTTTTCTGCTGTCCTAACACAGAGGGGGCTGGGAAGTCACACCTCAGTGGGTTGCAATGTGACTTGCCTGTGACTGCTTTTGCTGAAAAGGGGGGGCCGCAGAGGTCCCCCATCTGTCATCAACTGCATCCCCTTCTCTGGTCATCATGTCAAGATGATATATGGGCACTGGTTCCCAATGTCCAAAAACCATGATCATGGCATATGGCATAACACTGAGGAGAAATACCATGCTTCATTCCTCCCACTTTTTATGGTTTAATATTAACTGTAAACACACCATTAATAAGCTAAATTCATTACATAAGAGCAGGGCTGAGATTTAGAGGCGTTGCCATAACACTGACGGCTCTTTAAAGGCAGCATTTATTAATGAAACTCATATTCCTGGAACCAAACATGAACTTTTCTCTGTGTGTGGAAGTAGTGAAGGCAGCCCTGCATTTGCTCCGTGGTTTCTCTCCCTGCCCTGCATACAGTGTTAAAAAGCCATTCGTTCTCATGTTCAATGCATCATCCGGATGGATCTGCTCACCCTCAGTAATCTGCTTGAAGAGCAGAAGTAATGGATTGGCCCTGGTGAGGGAGGGGGATATATTACCCCAGCTGCTGTCTTCCTAAATTGCCAGCTTGTGTTTCCACTGCCACCCTCTCACCGCCCCCATCTTATCACCCAGCATGCCGTGGATCGTCCAGACTTTGCATTGGTTCCTTGGTTCTGGACATGGTGTGGTCATCAGGTCTGACGAGATTCACCATTTATTTTACACATTTATTTACATGCAGAAGGAACAAACAAAGCTCACATATCAGCTGATTTTTTTCATTTAATTGAACCAGAGCTTCAATTGGTTCAGCAGGAAAGAGACAATTCAGCTTTGATTGAATCACAGATTACCAACAGCTTATTCTAATTCGACCAAATAGGATGACTCAAGGGTTTACAAAGTCAAAGACATGTTGAGTATTTGGAAAGACAGGATTTTTCATGAAGTTAATCAAACACATAGACATTTGAATATGATCATTTTCACTGAGGAACAATGATGACAATATTTAGGTTTCTGTCAACCAGGTTTGGTGAAAGGAGACTGACACAAGAGGGCAAACAAATACCTGAGAACTCAATTACAATAAAAAATAACTAGAATAACACAAAATGGGAATAAAACCAACAAACTATAAAACACAGAAAGACACAAATGAAAGTATAACTGAAAACAAAACAAAAAAGCTTAAACAGAACCAAAAATTGCAGTCAGGGCAGTTTCCAGAAACACTCTCAGTTTAGGTTTTCTTCCTCCTTTAGCTTAACATGATTTATTTTCCAGCAGATGTTTGACGTCTCATGTTTTTTCCTCCTTGAACTAGCCGTTAGCGTTAGCTTGTGAAAACTGACCTGCATCTATAATGATACTGATAATGATCCAAAAAGCCAGGGCAGATGTGCTCTAGTGCAGATTTGTCCATGCAGCTTCTTGCTGCTGTTATCAGGTATCAGCAGATATCAGAAAATCAGGAGTTGATGCAGATAGTTTCTAAATCCCTGCTTTACTACCAACCCTGCCTTTATTCAATAAAAACAGCTTTTCTCTGCAACACAACGCAGAGCTGCTTCTGCTCTGAAAACCAAACGCTCCTAGAAACCAGAGGCCCTCCAGACAGCTGGTGCTGGGATGGTCCCATCATCCACCCTTTGAAACTTTACGTTCCTGCAGTGAAACATGATTCCCAGTCAGATCTGACTTCAGCTGGTAAATTCCCTGATATTGAACAGTCTGCATGCTGCAGGCAGTGCTGGTCTGTTTTCCTTCTTCTGTTATTTAAACTGGACCAAAACTTCAAATGGTGTCAAATCACTGATGAAATTCAGATTTAACTCAACAAGATCAACCAAACCAACCTAGTTTTACCAGGTTTCTATCAAACATAGAGCTAATGCTAATGCTCCTGTTAGCTCTAGCCTCCAAGCTGTGCTGTGGTGATAAAAGTCTCCACAATAATCTGAAAGATGTTAATCTGTTCTCCTGCAGCTGTTCGAAATGATCGGAATAAGAAGAAGAAGGAAAGTCCGAAGCCAGACCTGTCGGAGAGCTACGAGCTGACGGCTGAGCTGGAGACCATCATCGAGAAGATCCGTAAAGCTCATCAAGAAACCTTCCCGTCCCTCTGCCAGCTGGGCAAATACACCACGGTGAGTGTTTGCTTCAGAGGAGTCTCTGCTCAGTGGGATCAATGGGAACTCTGGTGTCCTTCAATCATCTACAGTACGCTCCATGACTCGTGGAACTGTGCTGCTTTCATCCCGTATAGATAATCAATCTGTGCTGTAAATCCCAGTTTAATGCAGCCTGAACCCCCAGATGTACAGCTGGAAGCGTCCAAACAAATCCTCAGCAGAGGCTCCCGTTCATTACCATCAGCCATTGATTGAACATTAAGCTCCATGTTTGGACAGTAGAGGGGATCATCGTAGAACCGTTCACATCTGACCCCCCATCACACATTTCTTTTACCTTGAAACGCTGGCAACTGCACATCGTCTGATTCTCCCCTCCGTTCAAACTTTGACACATCTGGAGGATTGCTTCTTGTGGTCAGGGAAACACAAACCCCGCCGCTGAATGATGGACAGCCTGTTAGCGAGGGGGAGAAGCAGCGGTAGAATGCCATCAGCTGAGTATATGTACTGTTAAATACTGTTGATATTAAATGTTATTTAATCAAATTACCTTGAGACTGTCATGCTGCTCTGCAAAAACTCGCCTAACAAAGGAAAATTATCATCACAATACGGCAACTCCACTCAGACAAACTGCATTGTTCCCGTTTCATAAGAATCAGATCTCTTCCAGAGTTTCAACATATAATTGCCTATATTTGCTATTATTTCAGGTTTCCTCAGTGATCTAAAGTAGAAAACAATCACTGTCAGTCTTGAAGGAAAACCACGGAGCACAGCGAGCCACAGGGCTACCCTGTCATCAGAGATGGCAAAAGTACTCACTTTCCGTACTTGAGTAAAAGTACAGATACTTGCGTTAAAAAATACTCTGGTAAAAGTGGAAGTGCTGATTAAACTTCTTTACTCAAGTAAAAGTAACAAAGTACATGTCATGATAGGCTTAAGAGGCTGAACCCACATGCAGAACACCACAGGAGGCTGAGTAAAAGTTTAACAGAGTTTATTGAAAAACATACAGAGTAATTATGAACTGGTTCTGGTACTGGTCCGGGACAGGAATCACTGACATCTGCAGAGATGGATAGTTTGATTAGCCAGGCAGCGAGATGGCTCGAGTTTGTTAATTCAGAATGTACCTAGATGAGGTTCTGGCAGATCCTTTGAGAGAGGAGGGAACCGGTTGGGTCCAGAGACTGTAGATTCAGCAGGGAGCTCAGCGGCAGCAGCGTCTAGCTTCTGACTCGTGAGTTTCAGACCTTGACTTGGTTTCCTAGCTCTTCCTTGAGAGCTGTTGGGGGAATCCAGACTGATGTCTTCGGGTTTGGCTTCCTTGGGCAGGCAGGCAGGTTTCCAGACAAAGCTCATCCAGAGCTTCAGACTTCGATCAGGTTTCCTATGAGGCAGAGAAGCCTCATAGGAAACCTGTTCATTTTCAATCATCTCGTCGTCCATGCTACTATGCTAACGCCACCGCCACCAAGCTGCAATGATTCGCCGCCAATGAATACCGCCGAATCTGTCGATTCATCTTGTAGTGGTGCGTCAAATGCAACGTAGATTCCCATCCAATTAGATTGAATTTGGTATTGATGACGTGAAAAATAATAACGGTAACTCCATTGAAATGATTCAATACTAAAGTAACGAGCCAATTACTTCCATCTGCGCAATATCTCCAAGGTAAGGAAAATCCTCTCTCACGATGATTTGGAGAGAATCATCTATGCCTTCGTCTCTTCAAGACTGGATTACTGTAACAGCCTGTTTACCTGTCTGAGCAAGAAGGAGCTGGGTCGCCTACAAATTGTCCAGAACTCTGCTGCAAGACTCCTGACCCGTACAAATAGGACAGCGGATGTTAATCCTCTCCTGAAGTCCCTACATTGGCTTCCTGTTGCTTCCAGGATAAATTTGAAAATCCTGGTCCTTACCTTCAGGGCCCTTCATGGACAGGCGCCTGGCTACATGACAGGTCTGATCCAGCCATATACGTCGGTCCGTAGCCTAAGGTCTTCAGGTCAAAACCTGCTTATGGTTCCTCGGACCCATTTTAAAAGCCGAGGAGACCGGTCCTTTAAAGCGGTGGCACCCCGTCTCTGGAATGAATGGAAGTTTACTTACTTACTTACTTTTTTAAAATGTAAGGAGCAGAAAGTACAGATATTTGTGTAAAAATGTAAGGAGTAGAAAATAAGTAGTAAAGTAAAGTAAAAATATCTGAAAAATCTACTTGAGTACAGTAACGAAGTATTTGTACTTCGTTACTTCCCATCTCTGCCTGTCATGAAATGGGAAGGATGGACCCAGCATTCAGGCGAGTCAGGCAATGGGTAGTTTCAAAATGTTCAATGACAGAAATTAAAACCTAGAGAATGGAATGCTGGCTGCTGTGGACCTGCAGTGACTGCAGCGGGAGGGCAGAGAATTGTTCATCACTCTGGTTTAACAGTTCAGTCCATCCTTTCTGAGGAAGGCAGGATCGGCTGATGACTGCCAAACGAGATGCAGCACTGAGCACTAGAGTGTCCCCAATGCAGCAACTGCAGGAGCAGGCAGGAGACAGATCCAGGTCAGAGAAACAGTTCAGAACCAGACAGTTCGGAGATCCAGGAGTCCAAAACCCTACCAGGGGTTCCGATCCATACAGGAACCGACTGATCCAGGGTTCCAGGAATCCTCAGATTATGATGGCAGGTTTAGAGTCCGATGAGTCCAGCAGTGAGCTCAGATGGAGACAGGCTGGCTCAGGGGTTGAGGGGGACAGAGACAAGACATGGTAGCAGTATAACTTCAGAAACTTAAAACTGTAGCCATCCAGAAGCCACTGACCTCGCCCATGTTCCGAGCCAAAAACCTGAGGGCTCCGCGAAGAAGGACCTGAACCTGAGCTCCCCTCGCAAGCCGAGCCAAAAACCTGAGGGCTCAGTGGAAAAGAGCCAGACAGCAGACAAACACCAAACCCTCCAAGAGTCAGGACATGAACCAGGGACTTTACTAAACTCAAAAAACAAACATGAATAAGAAACATGAAAAAACAAGAATAATGATCGGGCCCCAATAGCTGGGCTGAACCGTATATATATAGCAGAAGGAACAGGTGGATAACATAAATGATAATTATAGAACGGGGAAGGGAACGGCAGGTGAATGAAGTGAGTAATCAGATAAGCTAACGGAGCTGGCATACCCAGCTTTCCCGCTTTTATCATTATCTAACAGTTAGATAATGATAAAAGCTTTTCAGCTTTGTTATCAATCAGATAAAACTTCATCGCTCATTAGACATTCTAACATTATAGATGTTCCTGATTCGGCACACAGTTATGTTATTATCCTCATCATTGTACCCACGGTTTTTTAAGTCATCTTTGCAATATTCAGCCAGTCATATAGTATAACGTTACTAGCGTGTGCAGCGTCCAAGCAGATCTGTTACCGACACCGGCTCTCCCTGTCCTGTAAATTAAGGACAACCCGGTTTATATCTGGTTGCGCAAATGAGCTGTTGGTAGTGATTGTGCTGCCGGTACAGACAATGCCCAAGGCGATGTGGGTTGCGTTAATTTTCAGCCTCTGCATCCTCCAAGGACCCGGTTTCAAGGATCAGAAGAGAGGACCCAGTTTTCAAAGTAAACAGAAAGGAGATCAGAGTCAGAAGTGGTACTGAAGGGAAATCCAGGACAGAATCCGTTCCAGGTTTGGTTCACAGGCAGAAATTCAGCAGAAGTCGTAAGACAGTTCAGGCAAACAGATCGTTATGGGGATAGGCAGGCTCAGAGGATCAGTGCAAGAACAGGATCAGGCTATCAGAAACACTTAGTTAAGCTAGAAAACTCTCACCACATACTTGAATAATCTGGTACTGATGACTGGTTGAAGACTTGTTAAATAGACATCAGCCCCAAGATCAAGACAGTCAGAGAGGACAGGGTTGTGAGGAAATCCTGTTATTTCTTCACATTCTATGCCGTATGTCAGCACAAGGTCCAAAGTATGAAGATGAGAATGTGTGGGACTATTCACATTTTGAACAAAGCCAATAGTGTCTAAGATAGCATTAAAGGCTGCTCTTAAGCTATCGCCTTCAATGTCAGCATGGATGATAAAATCTCCCACTATGATGACCCTGTCTGGGCAGCCCACATGAACAGTTAGAGGTCCAAGCCATGTCAGGGAAACAGTCCAGAAATGGACGGTTCTGAGATCCAGGAGTCCGTAGCCTGGCCAGGGATTCCGATCCGAATAGGAACAGGCAGGTTCAGGGTTCCATGAGTCCAACAGAGAGTTCAGGCAGAAACGTTCAGATGGAAAAAAGCTAGGCTTAGTATTTGAGATGCAGGACAAGACATGACATCAGAAAAAAACCACCCATTTTTAAACTGGCTCCCTCCACTGGGCCAAAACAGGAACAGGGTATACTTAGTGAATGAGATCCCGGACATGATCAGGAAACACTAAGACATGACTAAAAAACCCTCTAACCACTGGAAATCAGCCATGATTTCCAAATAAAGACATAAAGTCAAACAAACAAACAATCAAACAATGATCTGGCCCCGATATCTGGGCTGAGCCGTAAATAAAGCAGCAGGAGCAGGTGGATGAAAAGAATGATGATTAGTAACTGGGGAGGGTTAGGCAGGTGAGTGAAATTAACAATTAAGTCAGCTATTAGGGCAGTGATCATGACACTTGCTGCAGTCAAGTTTCTGTAAGGCAACATAAATCAACGGGATTATCACAAATCAAGTAGTTAACTAGCAGACTTTTTTAAAGAAAGAGATCTTATGTTAAATAAACCACATTTAATCATTTTAACTTGTATTTAACTTTCCTCGCTTCGGAATCTTTTCTAATTTATTAGATTTTGGTCGCGGGTAAGACACGCTGGATTAGCTCTCCTGTCTCTGCTCGAGTCTAGCCATTAATAGCTTCGGCTGCTGGCAACAGGTAGCCAACAGGAAGCTCTTTTAAAAGCTGTGGCAGTGGGGTGTGTCTTCAGGGAGGAGTAGTTCCGGTTCCATAGGCGACATCTGATCTAGTAAGGCTCGGTGCTCGATAGGATCAATGGCACCACTTTGGTTTGAGAAGCAACATTTATTTTAAAGGATTTGGAATGAGGTCAAGTTAGCCTTTAAACCAACTTGGAGCAAAAGCTATGTGTTCAGATTAATTCACAATGCTAATCCAAGAGGTAAATAAAATATTATTTGCTAAAATAATATTCAATGAAATGATTTTTCTGATGAGAAATCAATGACTATTTTGGATAATTTATCCCTGAACTTGTTAACTGACTGCAGAGTCTGTAGATGTGGTGCAGCTTGGCGAGCAGAGCCAGCATTTAGCTCCATCAGTACTTCAAGTTAATCTGACTGCTTTCGGTATAACAGTGTTAAAAAGATGGAGGTCATGGAAACGCAGCTCTAACCGTCTCTGCAGGTGACGGCTTTAAATGTGAGGAAGCTGATGTTTGGGTTGAAAGTGATGCAGCAGCGATGTGACGGAGCTGAAAGCATCTAATCTGGTTTACATCCAGATTACAGCTGATGGCTGGGAAAGATGATTGACACCAAACTCTCCTGTGGGATGGTGGGGGTTAATTTGAAGATGCTAGTTTGTGAAAAAGCTGTCAGTCATCAGGGTTGCTCTACTGACCCCCGCAGCGTGTTTATGGGAAAATATCCAAAGCAACGGCAGCCTTTATGAGAATGTCTGACTCTGCAGTGATGCGATCCATTCAGCCAATCACTGCAGGTTTGATGGCAGAGCTGCGTTAGCGATGCTAAAGTAGGCCAGTCTGCAGAGCACAGCTGCACCCTTAGCTTCCAACCCCATTTTCCCTTTTCAATCCAAACACAAAGCTCCTAATCGCCGTAGCAACGCTCCACCCTTATCGCTCTCTTATGAGATGTGTTTTTCATTTAACCGCATCACATAAACGGCGTGCGTCGAGCCAAACGGCGCAGCTGGAAATAGTCAAACAAAGGAGAGAATATTGCTTTCCAATGATGGTGTTCCTAAGCTGGTGTTTGTTGTTTATCGGAGCGACAGTCGGGCTCTAATCTGGATCAGTGGTAATTAGTGTGGCTCTCAGGCGGTGAAAAGTTCCTCATTATGATCCTGATGCAGCGTCTGACTTCTCAGCAGAAACAGGATTTGGTGTAGATTAGGTTAAAGCTGCCTTTATGTGATGAAATATTTAAATCCTAGTCTGTGGTGATTAAGGAGTTCACTGCCGGGTTAGCAGAGACGGCTCCACAAAGAGAAACCCCTGGCTGACAGCGATGGGGATGAAAACCCAGCCTGGTGCTTCCAAAGACAAACTAAAGCATCAGCCAACGGCCAAGCGGCCTGCAGATATGGCCGTCTGTCTCAGGCTCTGGCTGCACCCGTTTCTGCATGTGATGCACCCCAACCTGCTGCTCATCTCACTGCCGGCCTTCTTTAACGGAGCAACTCGTCTAATTTGTTGCGATAAATGACATTAGGATTCCTTGGCAGCGTCCTTTTTTAACTCTATTGAATTAGCAGACTGCTGTAACTGACTGGATATTGCTGCTGGGGGGGTTATAGGTGGTCTGAAAAGTGTTGCACCTCGTTATGGCCTGCACCCTCTTTTCATTCGGCTCCGCCTCCTCAGCTGGAGGGCAGAAGGAGATGAGTGTCTCTAATATCTGCTCCCCTTTGGAGAATTAAGCTCTCACCCGTCTCCACCTCCTTCCTCCCAATGTGCGTCGTTGGTGCTGTTTTATCCACTGCAGCTCACTGTGTTTGATATAAACTCAGCACTAATGTTCTTCTCACTTAACCCCGTCAAACTTAACCACCTCTTCCTCTCCTACCGTCTGTTCGCTCCCTTTGTCTCCCTTTGTCTCTATGTGTCTCCCAGTGTCTCCGTGTGTCTCCCAGTGTCTCTGTGTGTAACGGCGGCCAGCGGCGGCTGCCTCAGAGCGGCGGGGATGTCAGCCGTCTGCTGTCTGGGCTGGAGCTGCTGTTCAGCAGCTGATCTGTGTGTGTTGGACCTCGATGCTAACATGCTCCTTTAGTTTGTCCTGATATCGGTCAGACGCTGAAGGAAAACTCTAAGTTTCCACCTTGAAACTTTCTCTCTCTAAGCTTCTTCTCCTGAGCAGAGATCGCTGAAAACAAACTCCTTAAATAACATTTTTCACCTCAAAGATTCTCCCATAAAAAAAAAACATTTAAAAATGAGAAATGAATATTTCTATAACTTCATGCAGCATAAAACGCTCCTGTCATTCCTACTTAATGTTTAAAGAGGGTTTAAACATTTAAAAACAGAATTAGAAGTCAAATAAAACCAATTCACAAAACTAGACTAAAATAAAAATTAGCTTAAATCAGGCCTGAATGAATGACTGAGTGGGTGAATGAGTGAATGAATGAACGAGTGGGTGAATGAGTGAATGAATGAATGAATGAGTGAATGAATGAATGAATGAATGAATGGTCGAATGAGTGAACGAATGAATGAATGATTGAATGAATGAACGAGTGGGTGAATGAGTGAATGAATGAATGAATGAGTGAATGAATGAATGAATGAATGGTTGAATGAGTGAACGAATGAATGAATGATTGAATGAATGAACGAGTGGGTGAATGAGTGAATGAATGAATGAGTGGGTGAATGAATAAATGAGTGAATGAATAAATGAATGAATAGTGAGTGAATGAATGAGTGAATGAATGAGTGGGTGAATGAATGAGTGAATGAATGAATGAATGATTGAGTGAATGAATGAGTGAATGAATGAGTGAATGAATAAATGAATGAGTGAGTGAATGAATTAATGGGTGAATGAATGAGTCAATGAATGAATGAACGAGTGAATGAATGAGTGAATGAATAAATGAATGAGTGAGTGAATGAATTAATGGGTGAATGAATGAGTCAATGAATGAATGAATGAGTGAATGAATGAGTGAGTGAATGAATGAATGAGTGAGTCGATGAATGAATGAATGAATGAATGAACGAATGAATGAATAAATGAGTGAGTGAATGAATGGGTGGATGAATGAGTGGGTGAATGAACGAGTGGGTGAATGAATGAATGAGTGAATGAGTCGGCTCTGAAATGAATGTCATTTACAAAGAATCCGTCTTCCAAAGAAAAACATTGAAACATGAAATAAACTATAAAGATACGGTTTGAACTTTAGCATAGAGATCATTTCATTCATGTCTTCATCCTGGGTGGTGAAGCCGCAGCAGGCCCAGCCTCATCCTCTCACCCGTCACAGCGACGTCTCTGCATCCCATCAGAGCTCCATGGCGCTGCCACCGCGGTCCTCATTCCTGCCGCCGCTCTGTGACTCATGCAGCACTGAGAACATCAGCAGCCGAGCTGCTTCTCCTGACTCCCTCTGTTGCTGTGTTGCAGAAGTCGAGTGCGGATCACCGCGTCAGGCTGGACCTGGGCCTGTGGGACAAGTTCAGCGAGCTGGCCACCAAGTGCATTATCAAGATAGTGGAGTTTGCCAAACGAGTGCCTGGCTTCACAGGGCTGACCATCGCCGATCAGATCACGCTCCTGAAAGCGGCCTGCCTGGACATACTGGTGGGTTCTGCTGCTGATGGTGGGTTACGACTGAAACTGGTTCCCTCTGATCCTAATGTATGAATGGAGATATACGCTGAAGATCTCAGTTATTAAAGGAGTAGCTCACATTTTCTGAAGTCAGGTTCTGTTACAAGCTTATAAGCATCAGGCCCGCAGCATGACGCTTACTGGACATAAAGAACATTGCTGTGAGAAGAAGCAGGTAGAGGTTAAAGGATCTTCTGTAAGAGATCAACTTATCAGATCTAAAGCTCTGCTGGTCTGGATGGGTCTGTCGGTTACTACTGTCTCCTCAGGAGTTATCAGAGACACCATTTACTGGGGTTTGCATCTCCGTCTGTGCTGCAGGTAACAGTACTGCAGCTTTCCATCACCATAGTAATATGTAGTTTGAAATTAGAACATTTATTATGCATCATGAATACATTATAAACCCATAAAAATAAACTCCCATTTCGTCTTCATGGAAAATGTTTTTATTTGTTTTACTTTAGTTTTCATGGCTGCTGTCAGTCGCCTGTTTAATTCCCAGATTAACTGATTATTGTTTTAATAATTGACTCATGACAGTTAATGCAAATGTTCCAGCAGGTTATTTTTAATAACTGAACTGCTGTAACAACGTTTATGACTGGAGTGGATTTAGGATGACAGAAATATCTTTGACTGTTTCTGAGTCTCTGTTTTGTGGAAAACTAATCATCCCTTCCCTAAAAACACACTAAGCTAAATTAGACGCGTGGAACAATGACTCTAGCAGCGCCTGCTGTCCCTCACCAACCTGCAGGATTCAACTTTTGATTGACGGCAGTTTGCATTTCCGTCAGGAAGTCCCATTATTCCGCTTTGCAGGATTCTGTCAGGATGACGGTGACAAAGAGCAGCGAGCGTCTGAACGGCGTCTAATGATGCAACCTTTCTGTAAAAGCTGAAATATTTTTCATCTGTCTGGAACTCACTCAGAGACATTTAAAATCAGCAGCAGCGTTTAATGCAGACGGATCGGTTCTGCTGCTCTGAGGCAACCTTGGAGGTGAAGGATCCTCCTTCTCTCTCTCTCTGTAACAATATTTACATTTCTTCAAATGCTGCACTGAGTTACCGCCTAAAATCTACCAGGAAACCTGATTTATCATCTAACAGGCCTGGTCAGCTGATAAGCAGACTCAGAAACGGCATTTCAACCTCGATGGCGGTTATCTCCTCTGGTTCTGTGTGTCACAATGAGAACTGTCTGCACGCTGCTGACTGTTAATGACAGTGTCTGCACGCTGCTGACTGTTAATGACAGTGTCTGCACGCTGCCGACTGTTAATGACAGTGTCTGCACGCTGCCGACTGTTAATGACAGTGTCTGCGCGCTGACGACTGTTAATGACAGTGTCTGCACGCTGCCGACTGTTAATGACAGTGTCTGCACGCTGCCGACTGTTAATGACAGTGTCTGCGCGCTGACGACTGTTAATGACAGTGTCTGCACGCTGCTGACTGTTAATGACAGTGTCTGCACGCTGCTGACTGTTAATGACAGTGTCTGCACGCTGCTGACTGTTAATGACAGTGTCTGCACGCTGCTGACTGTTAATGACAGTGTCTGCACGCTGCTGACTGTTAATGACAGTGTCTGCACGCTGCTGACTGTTAATGACAGTGTCTGCACGCTGCTGACTGTTAATGACAGTGTCTGCACGCTGCTGACTGTTAATGACAGTGTCTGCACGCTGCTGACTGTTAATGACAGTGTCTGCACGCTGCTGACTGTTAATGACAGTGTCTGCACGCTGCTGACTGTTAATGACAGTGTCTGCACGCTGCTGACTGTTAATGACAGTGTCTGCACGCTGCTGACTGTTAATGACAGTGTCTGCACGCTGCTGACTGTTAATGACAGTGTCTGCACGCTGCTGACTGTTAATGACAGTGTCTGCACGCTGCTGACTGTTAATGACAGTGTCTGCACGCTGCTGACTGTTAATGACAGTGTCTGCACGCTGCTGACTGTTAATGACAGTGTCTGCGCGCTGCCGACTGTTAATGACAGTGTCTGCGCGCTGCTGACTGTTAATGACAGTGTCTGCGCGCTGCTGACTGTTAATGACAGTGTCTGCACGCTGCTGACTGTTAATGACAGTGTCTGCACGCTGCTGACTGTTAATGACAGTGTCTGCACGCTGCTGACTGTTAATGACAGTGTCTGCACGCTGCTGACCGTTAATGACAGTGTCTGCACGCTGCTGACTGTTTGTTAATGACAGTGTCTGCACGCTGCTGACTGTTAATGACAGTGTCTGCACGCTGCTGACTGTTAATGACAGTGTCTGCACGCTGCTGACTGTTAATGACAGTGTCTGCACGCTGCTGACTGTTAATGACAGTGTCTGCACGCTGCTGACTGTTTGTTAATGACAGTGTCTGCACGCTGCTGACTGTTAATGACAGTGTCTGCACGCTGCTGACTGTTAATGACAGTGTCTGCACGCTGCTGACTGTTAATGACAGTGTCTGCACGCTGCTGACTGTTAATGACAGTGTCTGCGCGCTGCCTACCGTTAATGACAGTGTCTGCACGCTGCTGACTGTTTGTTAATGACAGTGTCTGCACGCTGCTGACTGTTAATGACAGTGTCTGCACGCTGCTGACTGTTAATGACAGTGTCTGCACGCTGCTGACTGTTAATGACAGTGTCTGCACGCTGCTGACTGTTAATGACAGTGTCTGCACGCTGCTGACTGTTAATGACAGTGTCTGCACGCTGCTGACTGTTAATGACAGTGTCTGCACGCTGCTGACTGTTAATGACAGTGTCTGCACGCTGCTGACTGTTAATGACAGTGTCTGCACGCTGCTGACTGTTAATGACAGTGTCTGCACGCTGCTGACTGTTAATGACAGTGTCTGCACGCTGCTGACTGTTAATGACAGTGTCTGCACGCTGCTGACTGTTAATGACAGTGTCTGCACGCTGCTGACTGTTAATGACAGTGTCTGCACGCTGCTGACTGTTAATGACAGTGTCTGCACGCTGCTGACTGTTAATGACAGTGTCTGCGCGCTGCTGACTGTTAATGACAGTGTCTGCACGCTGCTGACTGTTAATGACAGTGTCTGCACGCTGCTGACTGTTAATGACAGTGTCTGCACGCTGCTGACTGTTAATGACAGTGTCTGCACGCTGCTGACTGTTAATGACAGTGTCTGCACGCTGCTGACTGTTAATGACAGTGTCTGCGCGCTGCTGACTGTTAATGACAGTGTCTGCACGCTGCTGACTGTTAATGACAGTGTCTGCACGCTGCTGACTGTTAATGACAGTGTCTGCGCGCTGCTGACTGTTAATGACAGTGTCTGCACGCTGCTGACTGTTATTTAGCAGTGAAGCATCATGCCGTAGTAATGAAGCTGCAGCAATGAGATGGAAAAAGGCTGTTTGCTGGATTATTTAACATTTGTTGCACAGAAACAAAAGGAAGGAGGGTGAGATGGTCCAAACGAAGTAGAGACAGGATTTTGCGGTATTTTACATGTTGGACCTTTTTAGAACGGTCCACAAACTTCGAGCAGACTGCTGACAAAGCCAGGGACGGATGTTCTGAGTAAAGACCTTAATTTTGCCATTTTTCCACAAGAAGTGCTCATCATGGAGCTGATCACTGCCATTGAAGCTGCCATGAGGAACAACGACCTTGCTGAAAGAGAGGCAGAGCAACTCAGGATGAAAGTGACAGCTACCCTGTCCAAACCACCTCCTTCCAATCTCACACCACAGGAAATGAAAGCCATAGCATCCCTCAGCCAGGACCAAAGCATCACCATATTACCGGCAGATAAAGGAAGATGCACCGTGCTCCTGAACACTTCTGACTACCAGGACAAAATTCTCACTCTAGTGAGTGACACCAACACGTATGAATCTTTGAAAAAAGATCCAACCAAAGCCTACAAAGAGAAAATCACAGACTACCTCAACAACTAGAATAAGACTTAAGCTTACTTTAGATTATATCCAGGGGAGGACATTCCATGCTTTAATGAACATTTACCAGGAAGGAGCACCACTCAGACCCATCGTCAGCAGCATTAACTCAGTAACATACAACATTGCTAACAGCTTACTAATATCTCAGCCCCCTTGGTGGGAAACACACCACATCACATAGGAAATTCCAAAGACTTTGCCATTAAAGTCAAAGATTTAAGGATGGCGCCAGAAGAAACCCTGGTATCGTTTGATGATCCTTCTCTTTTCACCTGCATACCTATAACAGAGGCAGTGGAAACAGTCAGGAAACATCTTCAACAAGACTGTCACCTAAACAACAGGACTGATTTCTCTCTGGACCAGATCTGCACACTACTGGGTCTTCGTCTTTCCACAACCTATTTCAAGTTCAGAGGTAATTTTTACAGACAGAAGCATGGCTGCGCAATGGGATCTCCAGTGTCCCATGTAGCGTGCAGCTACATCTACACCTTATGGACAAAGAAGACAGGTGGTTGGAGAGGGGCGTGAAGGAAGCCATCTATGTTAAGAAAGAAAAACCAACCTTAAATGGGGGGGGGGGACTCAGATTTAGGCTTTCGGAAACCTGCAATGCAGCGATAGCGTTGATTTCCTGCTGCTATCATCACACCCCCTTTACAGGGGAAAAGACGACCTCCCCTATTCAGCCGGGCCAACAATTCCCTCTAACGACCCCTTTCAGAGACATAGGCCAGTATCGGGCATTGCAGGCTAACAAAGACCTCAATGACTCCCCATTCCTGTGGGGCGGACCTGTTCTTCCGTTTCAGTTTGAATGTTTTTTAAGCCATAATAAGGCTTTGTTGGGTTCAACGCTGTTTCTGACATTTTGAATTGAAAAATCTTCCTGGATGGAAGAGAAACGTCTTCAAACTTGGAAACAAAGTCCAGAGGATTGATTTGAACTTTTTGGAACGACCGTTTCAGAAGTAACGTAACCGTTTTATTGATCCCTTTTGGCAGAAATTATTTAGT